TTCAAATTTACAACAGCCAAAATAATTTTCGTACCAGAATTAAAAACAAACGACCTGATAATCGACTTAGTTTTTGGCTTTAGAAAACGGAATGGCTTATCCTTTAAAAAGGTCCAAAGCATTTAGCATTAGATGCGATTATGTGAATCCTTGAGTAATGTATGATGACATTTTAAAAAAGTTAACTCAAGCGCTTAAGGATTTAACCCTAGAAAATAGTTTTGGGTCTATGTTTTATGTGCCGAATGCCAAAGGAAAACTAGTTCCACTAGCCTTACAACATCAAAACAATAATTACAATTTACAAACATACTGTACATACTGGAATGATCGATTTGAGCTGATTCGTTAACAGTTAACAATTAACAACGGAATCGAGACTAATCCGCTTACCTAATGATTCAAATCCAAAAATTAATAGAAGATTCTGCTAATATTGGGAACCAATGTGCGATTGAAATATTTGTAGTTTTTGAAGACAACTTATCGTTTCAAATGTACATTCATTAAAAAGATGTTGTCCGCAAACTCTCCAGGTCTTTACTAAGTAAATCAGCAAGGATGTGGTTTATTTTAATACAGTGATGTTCTAGACTAACACAAGCTGATTTCGTTGCTCCCAGTACCCGATCATAGTTTTTGAATTTGTATTTTCGCAAATTGGAATATTTTCTTTTACTCGAAGGTTAAAAATATATATGGTTTTAGCAAATATAGCGTCCTTTTTCATTGCAGCATTTGAGAATATTTCTGCTTATTTTTTATTTTTAATATTCAGGATCTGACCGGTTATTTACAAACCTTGCCGGACCTTTCGAGATACCCCAACTGCATGCAAACTCGAAAGAAAAGAATAAATGCCGTTCTGTTTTTAAATATGGTTCTTATTTAAAGATATAGGTTAGCCGGACACTAAAATTCTTCTGTATTTAAAGATCCTTTATATCATATTTGTGAGTTTTATATAGCTAGCTTATAACTTGCTATAAAATCATGATCCAGTCACCCTACTTTAGGTTGTATAACAAAATAATAAAAAATCCAATCCGGACCAAATATTCCAAAAACTAGCGAATCTGACCTTTCAGAATTAAATGTGATGACGATGAAAAAAGTGTTGTATATCTGGATGGCAATCGAACACTCCCGCCAAGAAAGTCATATCACAGGGTTCACTACTTCAATCTTGGCTGTTTGTAATGTTAGTATATACCAAGTGTCCTTGTAAAGGTAGATGAAGTCTGCACGCTAGGAACGAAGATAAATACTGATTATTTTACTTTTACTACTTAAATAATTCAATCATTAATAAAACTGGTTAGTTTTCAACAATTGCTCAGTTTTGGTTAGTTAACTAAAGCTAATAATCAATGGAAGAATAAGTAATAATACTAAATATTTGAAAACCGCTTAGCATGTCAAAACGTAGAAAGGTTAGCTAGCGAGTAATTTGGTGCCATTCAAAAGTATTGTAAAAACTGTATTGTATTGTATTATTTTGATTTTAAATGTCATTTAGCATCCTAAATAATAAATTAGTGATTTATTTGGTAAATTTTTGATAATAAGATATTAATAACAACTCGTACAGTGGACATTGATAGGAAAAGCCTTTTTTCATGATTGCAACTTTGGATATTTATTTAAGAATCAGTATTACCAATCATCAGTATTAAACAAAAAAGATTTGCTTTTTTCTCAGCTTAAGACTAAATTTTCGCAGAACCCGAATTTTAAAATTAATGATAACAATTATGCCCCTCGATTGTCGGCCCTAGGTCGGCCTTTGGAGCTCTGTGCGCGTGCCGGAGAGCGGTAGGGGACACTTGGAGCCTGGGGCCAAAGATCATGCAGCGGGTGTACGGTACCATGGTGGTGACTATGCTCAAGCATGAGGCAGTGGCATGGTGGCAGCGTACCAAAAGAGCAGGAGCAAGGCTAGTTCTTAATAAACTGCATAGATTGACTTGCCTCTGCATAACGGGCGCAATGAGTACGGCACCCACGAAGACAATAGAGGCTTGTTGATAAAGGAGTGCAAAGGGGTACTGAAGAAAGTGTACGAGGCGAGGAGTGTCACGTTGGTCTAGATCCCGGGTCACAACGGGCCCATCTGGTGGCCTGAGTGCTTGGACGCCCGCGGTGGGCGCCCCCCTTTGATACCAATACCAATAATTCCCCTCGATGGACATTTCAGGAACTCGAAAATAACTTTCAGGAATTCCTATTGGCTGCTTTACGAATTACGATTTATGAATATATGAATCACACCCCAATTCGCAAGGAGAAGAAGTGTTCTTTTGCGCCAAAATGGTGTTTAAAAAGCTGAAAACGATATTGAAAAACCACTAGCATGCCACCCTTAAAATTAATGTATAATTGTCAATTATTCCCAGATGTGTATTGAAACCCTTGTACATTTTTTTTTTTGCTATAAGATTAATTTAGGTGAAAATGAGTAAAATGAAAGTATATTAACAAGTTTTTCGACAGGCTGACCTGCTTCTGCCCCATTTTGGTTGAGTATCTTAACTATTCAATAACTGTTAATTTGTTTTATGTATTATACGAAGTATTCTTATTCCTAATGTACCAAATTAGGTGCACATTATCGAAAACTTTTTTATTAATAGTTAAATTAGCATAGTAACTACTTCAGATTGCGACTGAAGGAAAATAATTGAATATCTCATTTTGGAATAAATCAGAAATACGGATTTCTTTAATGAAACACGTTACGTATTTTTGCAATTGGAATTATAATGTATTTGTGTGAAAATCTTCCATTGCACAGAAAAGTTACTGAACATTAGCCTAAAATTGAAACTAACCGAATTATTACTACATATATTTTTTTAACACGTTGTTGGAGCCTCTAAATGCGTGAACGCCATTTTATAATATTAGAACCGGACTATAGAGGCACATGTCGGTTCTTAGGAAATTTATTATGCATCATTCTCATCATTATCATTAACACATCACTCGTAAAAAATAATAGCAATAAATGACATGAAATAATATTGGAATTAATGTTTTTTTATTTTTATATAGCTTCTGCATTATATATTATATATTAATTTACACCGTTCACATGCTGTTATTTATTAAGATTTATAAAGCAAAGCTCTCTGTATAGATTCCCTGAATGATTAAGCCCATCTTAATTATAAAGAATTTTTAGCATATAATTGAAATTAATGTTATTAAATTGTTAAATTGTTGAAATTGTTAAATTCACACAAAAGCATATTCGACTTCTCAACTTGAATTCGCTCATTCTTACTCTGTTGAAATAATGAATTTATAACATTTTTTATCAGTCGATTTCGTATATGAAGAATTTGTTGATACGGAAGGCCAAAAACAAATGTGTCAAGTCGATTGGTTAAGCACTTGGACGGATGTTTACAAACACCGGGTTAATTATTATTCATAGGGCCATTGAAGAGGATGCGACCGGCTCGTCCTCTAGGTACGCTTTATTACACTTGGGAGACGAATTTCTCCGAAATGAATGGTAAAACAGATATTTTATTGGATCTCAGGGTACCGATTGTGTTGAAAACCAGAATATTCCCTTTTATTTCGTACCCCTTGTCCCGAAACGTTTTCGGTAACATCACAGGACCTTTCGGATTACAACGACAATAAAATTATTTATTTTGACTCGACTGCCGAAAATATTTTACCGGAATTTCGCCTCCCATGAATACAGATCAATTTTCGTCGGAACGTGCGACGTCACTTGTTGAAGTATTGACAATTGGTTATACTTTGGCGTTTAGAGTATACGAACGTTTTTTAATCGAAACGTGATTGTTAATTAACGTTTTTTTTTATCACAAAAGAAATTTTATTTAGTTTTATTTTGTGGAAATAAGAAAGCATAATAACCTAAATTTTGAAAATGGCAAGGATCTCCGCTATTCGCAAAAAGAAACCTTTCATAAATATTTAAAGAACGCCATAAGCCCAGAGACTATAAACTATATTATAACACCAAAATAAATATATTAAGATGTCTGTAGGAATATTTATTTTTGAAGTATATAAAACAATAAAATTTATATACTGCTGCTCAATATTTAATTTGAAAAATGTCGAGGAATCGGAGTTTAAATGAATTTTGTAATGTTGCTCAATAATTTACTAAATTATAGGGAATGTGCTTAGTTTTTGTACAAAATTTCTAAATTTGCGACCCAAACATAATTTGCGTTTAAGTTGATTTGTTGCAGCAAAATAAATTTTAGGTATACTAAGTACGTGGAACAACACGATATACTTTTAGAATTCCTAGCCTATGTGTGAAACGTATTTCAAATTCTAATTTGATAAAATTTTAATAAAAATTCAGAAAATCTGCTTTATCCAACTTTCCGCCATTACCATAATTTTAGCTCTAACAAAAAAACGCGCGCAAATATGTCAAAATTTTGTTTCCCTATTATCGAGCAAAACAGATCCTTCGGATGAATGGATATTAGGACAATTTCATTAAATTGGGCCGTTTTGATCGGAAAATTTAACAAAAAGTGAAGATTATCGGAGTATAGGAGTTCAAAAAATAAGTTCCGCCTACCCCATATAGGCACCCAACCAAAACTTATACCATTTTATAGTAATACGTCCATTTTGTTTTGATTTTTGGTTTTATGTACATGCGCGCCAAAGATTTTGTTGGATTGCGATGATGTATATAAAATTAATAACAACTGACAATGTTTCAACCTCCTACGTTTAAAATTTTAGTTCTCAATCATTTGGCAGCTTTTGTTAAAATGCGACACACTATTTATTAAATAAAGCTATATTTCTATGATCTAACCAAACACGTTGTTGCAAGATCGCGAAATTGATTATTATTTGGCTTGTTTGCGACGTTCCGATGGCTCTCGTGATATTTAACAATGCAAAATCAACGTCAGACGAGTCACTTTTTCATAACTAGGCTTCTACTGAGCATGGCAAGATAAAGAGGAAAACGTGTCACCTACCAGGATTCGGTTGCGTCTGATACGATGTCTTCTTGATCCACTCATAAGGACTTCTAGCCGTAGGCGGCCTGGCACCCATCCCCATCTGCTGAGGAGGTGAAATATTCCCACTCTGTCCTCCAGGACTAGACATTTCACTACCCGAAACCGTAATCGGTGGCGACGGCAACTGATTCTCCGGTTCTACTCCGTGGGGTTGCAACGCGGGTATTCCCGTGTGCACAAAGTCCTGGAAATCGTGCTGAAATACCCCATGACCAGCACCGTGATGATGCCATATCTGGGGCTCTTCCTGAGGTAAATAGGTTGCCGGTTGGGTACCCATTTGAGTCCCGTTATGATACCCTGAGGAGTACCACGAGTGTAAAGATCCGTTCGTTTGAAAATGCGCGTTTGGCGATGTCGGCATCGCCTGCTGGTGCCTGTACATCGTGTTATAATAGGATACCATCCTAGTTGAGGGTTGAAAACTTAACCACAGTCTTTGTCACGGCACTAACTTAACTACCATCCAAAAAAAAAAAATCACGGTACAGTCTGTCGTCACTCCGCCGTCTGATGACAACGACAAATGTTTTCAAATCTAACGGAATATCACTCGGGGTCTATCCGGAGATAAGGACGCGATAAGGACCCAAGGGCGGGCGGAGCTTAAGGGAGGCCTGGCCAATGGCACCCGGCCGTCCTGATCATGGCCGAATTGTGCGAAATCGGCCAATGAAAAAAGGCGGACCTTCGAGCAGTTATTATTTAAGCAACATTTAATTAATTAAAAAGGTGTGATATGGGAAGGCGTGTTTTGTCACACGCAAGATGATAATGCTTACGCATCCTGCGTCCGACAAAGGGTGGCATGGTTCGATTAATTTTAAGCTTATTAGCATTGTTATCGATATGGCACAGTAAGGAATGGTTTGTGATTACCGATTAGAAACTGTGTACCTACTAGGTATTTTATGCAGATTATAAAGATATTTCTTTTATGCTGATGCAATGCAGTAACACCTTCGCACACTGTTCTAAATGGCATCCCGTCAGATAAACAGAAATATTAATTTCAATATATAATAACTAAAAATTGGTGTCTCGTATTTACATTTTGAAGTTGTGTATTTCAGAATGTCTTACCACCAGCGTAGTTATAAAAAGAGAAAAAAAATAGATTTTTAGGAATTATTAATTTTTGTGAAGTTGTTAATTGGGTTATGTACCAGGTCTTTGAAATTTGATTGTTGACAATGAGCTCTCAAGAATTGCGAGATACTCAGGGTAGCTCTAATTAGTGCAAATTTCTGTAAATATTTTTAAAAAAATGACGTTCATTTTGGAACTTCCCCATTTTTCATGTTTCAATTTTTCTTGTACCAGTTAGTTTATTTTAAAATTTGGAAAAATCTCGATCGGAACTTTGACGTCAAAATTAATAAGTCTTAAAGGTCATAAAAAAGCCTATTGGAAGCTAGAAGAATTCAATAGTGCTTCCCCAAAAAAAAAAAGTTGTGAGAAAGTTTAAAGAACATGAAACTTCTCGACAAATTTTTGACTTGGACACAATATGAAGCTCGACAAGTTGGAGGGAGAATGTATTATTTGCAGAATTTATCTAAAATTTACAATAAATTTGTTTAATCCGTTATACTTGCGGAAATGTTTTATTAAATATTCACACTGTTATTTACGTTGCTGGTTCCTGATCCTTTCGCATAAAGAGGGTAGGACATGTAATTTTGAAATGCCGCATAGGTATATATTACAATATCTATAAAAGGAATGCCGTCCATTATTTTTTAAATAAGCGGGTCAGGATATGCCACACAATGTGGTGTTGAAAGGTAAAATTACAATGTACTTCTTCAGATATTTGTTATTTTGTTACGCTTTAAGTATATGCCACTTATATCTAGCTAAGGGGTAAATCTACATTTGCAAATTAAAAATATACTCCTTAACATGAGATCTTAGTAATGTATAAAATTTTATTTATTATAAACTAGCAACATTCAATTGTCAGTTATATGTTTATAAAATTCACGACAGTATTTTTGCATTTAGTGAAAACGTGGATAAATGAACAATTTATCGTATCGATTTGATTCCCGCTTTAAAATATTCGAGAATTGGGCATAATGAGGCCAGAACTAATAAACCTAGGTATACTTTGTCTCAAAGTATATCGTCTTGATAGTCACAAAACACCTGAATAGTCAGTATTGTAGGACAGAACATCATGGGAGGATTTTGAAAGTATTTTAAAAATATGCGAATTAATTTTATTTTATGTTTTCCGCATTTTTTTTAAAGATAATTTTGAAACAAGTTTTCAGAAAGAATTGCACTTGCATCTTCGTGATAGTCCAAATTATAATCCTTAATATTCTTCGCAGGCAACATCAAGCATTTTGGGATACATCTCTCTTCAAATTCAGCCGGAATTAGGATGCTGCGTTTTCCTTTATTTAAAAGTGGTGCTTTCTTGTCTATTTTGCGGAATTTAAATCTAATTTTAAAAATAAGTATACTAACAAATGTTATTGGTTTCATCTTCTAGCCTCCTTATCAGTTTGTCCAAAATGTCCAACCTCGATAAAAACCGAATAAATTCATATCATATCTTGTTCATTATTTTCCAGTCGGTAAGATTGATTGAAAATCGCCAGGTTTTTTCTTTCATTCAATAATACTCTGTTAAAAATTCTTTATCGAAGAAATTGGCGTTTTTATGAGGAAGCAGGTTCGCCTCTGCCTTGCCCTTGACCTATGAATAAATTATTGGTTGTTGGGTTTACCCCGGAACAATGTAATGGCGAATAATTACTTTTCGAGAGAGGGACCTTCAAAATCTACGACAATATACTTTGAGACCCACCATACTATTTATGTACCAGTATATATTCCGGCGGTAAAAAATTAGTAGTAACTTTATAAGTGTTATTCAGTCCACTGTTCTTAATTTACTTGCCTCACTTGTATATAAGAATTCTGTATAAGTATAGGCAAAGAAAAAAGGCCCTGAGTGTTTCGATTTTTTTGTGCATACTCTATTGCAGGCGAGATCTGTAGTAAAAATTTTCAAAATGCTGCCAGAACAATAACTCAAAGATAAGACCGTTATGTCGCACTTGCAGTGGCCCTCAATTGAAATACCATAATAAATTAATTTCTTGGAATATATAAAGAAAAACTATCCCTGAACCAAACCAGTTCCTTACATTTAGTCGTTTTCTTGTTGTGCAGTAATGGACTATACAAACATAAATTGGTACAATAATGAGGAGTTTTACAAAAACAGTAAAATTTACTTTGAAAATAAATAATTATTTAAAAATGCATGTAAATAGTATATTCTCAACACCTCACAACAATGTATATTCCTACTAGTACTATTGTTAAAAGTCACTGGTTCTCATTTCTGGCAAATTTAAATTCATTGATTGATATAAAAGGGGATAGTGTCGAATAATATCACAGTCAAACCCAAAACAAACAATCATATTGAGGGTTAATGGCATGGCTATACACAAATTTTGTAGTGATCGTAATATTCATTTTCCGACTAGGAGGTGTAACCCCAAGCGGCTATTAACTACCTGTAATGGGTTTAGGTTCGTAATTCACTTAAAGACTTTATTGCACCAAAACGGTAATTCCAAAAATTTTGTAAGGAACACGCCTAGACCACAACTTCCCTGCCGTGAAGCAACAAGATTATGCCGGTTAAGATTCGATCACAAAGGATATTTGGAATATCAGTTTGTATTATTATGCGCTTATTCGGTATATACATTATTCTTTATTGGAATAGGGTTGTTGTCTGCAAACATATCACATACTTCAGAGCCTCAAAGTGTTTGATATTTCAAAGGGCGTTTCTTAAGAAAAAAATTCGCCCTCAATGGTTTTGTTTTTGAGATAAAGGATGTTAAGAATTATATATATTATTATATAAAAGTTAAATTTGAATGTCTCGTATTCAAAAAACTCTACGGAAATATTTTTGTCTAAATATGGATATTTTTGTAATAATTGTTTCTTTCTTCATTTTGTTTTCTTAAAAATACTAGAGGCATGCTTAATATAGACCGTTTATTAAAAAAGACGATGTGTAAAATTTTACGTTCTTGTGTATTTTACAGTACAAGCCAATTATAATCAAGTATCTTCATAATATCATAGTATCTTTATAATATATGACCCAGGTAGAGTAATAAAAATAAATTAAAATCAGAATGTGTCCAAGATTTGCTTTTTTATATAGGAACCTTTACCCTTATCCTATTGGGAAAAGTTTTAGAATAAACCTAGTGCATCTAACAACCTGCTTCAGATTCACCATCTCAAATTTCGTTTTTGGCTAGTGAATCTAAAACGATTAAATTGACATATTACTTAAACACTTTTTTAATAGGAGTAATGGGTAATGGAGCGTTTATGACATGTTTCAATCGTCTTATGTTATTTCGCAACCTGCTTTAACTTTTATTTTAGATTTTTTTAAAAGCGTAAAATTTACAATTCAGTAATGTCCCACAAGTGCATAATAGTATATTATGCAACAAGTGTTGTAAACGGCTTTGCTAGTGCCAAATAAATTCATTATTTATAGTATATTATGCAATAGGTGCGGTAAGCGGCATTTGACTCACGAGTTTATTTGACACGGGCGGAGCGCAGCGAAGTGAGTTTTTAATAAACGAGTGAGTTAAAAAGTTTACCGAACATGTTGCATGCCATACTTTTTCTACGACTGTTAGTTTTTAGGTATATTTTCGCAAAACAACACGAATACATTCACTGACATGACCGTCAGAATTAACAAACGTCAAAATTCAAAGCGTGGGAAATATCTCCGAAAACATCCGATTGCGCCCAAACCCGTGCGGTAACATCTCGGAAATATCCGAAGGGTCTCGGATCCGTGGAAAACGAAACTGACGCGTTCCGCACGCTAGATCGGTGTGTAATTAGGTATTTTACAGACGGGAGTAGAAAAAAAGTTTACCAAACGTGTTGCATACTATACTTTTTCTACGACGGTTAGTTTTTGGGTACATTTTTGCAAAACAACTCGAATTCAATGACATTCGCTGACAAGACCGTCAGTGCGAAAAAAGATTTCTTCTACTCCAGTCTGTAAAATACCTAATTACACACCGATCTAGCGTGCGGGAAGCGTCAGTTTCGTTTTCCACGGATCCGAGACCCTTCGGATATTTCCGAGATGTTTTCGGAGATATTTCCCACGCTTTCAAGTTAGATGTTTGTCAATTCTGACGGTCATGTCAGTGAATGTATTCGTGTTATTTTACGAAAATGTACCCAAACACTAACGGTCGTAGAAAAAGTATAGTACGCAACACGTTCGGTAAACTTTTTAAGTCACTCGTTTATTAAACACTCGCTCCGCTCATGTTAAATATTCTCGTGAGTCAAATGCCGTTTACCGCAATGATTTTAATTACGCAATAAGCCTATGGGATAGATCATTGGTTTTTTACACTTCTTACCAGCTATTTTCTTTTACAAATGACACCGAAACATATTTTTTCCTTTTGTTCCTTTCAGAATTTTGGGTGCTGCACTCAAAGAGAAAATGGTTTACTACAAACTTAGTCTGCTAGTGCTTTAGTACTTCATTTTTGAACACATAGGTTTCGGTATGTTAGTAAAAAAAAGTACCGGAATGCTTAAATATCTGCAGAACTGGTTTCTAAACATTCAGAATTCAAAAATTCTTGTAGCATTGCATGAAAAATAGCATTATGACGTGTAACGTAAAAGTAGCAAATCTGACATCTAACATTTCTGTTAGCATTTTCAAAAACCCCAACATATTGAATTTTATCGTTCCAACTTTGACAGTTTTAGAAATATATCGTTTTGGTACTTTCTACTAACCCAGTGTAGAGTGGGACTATAATTAGAACAAATAATAACTTATAATTCTGTGATTAAAAGATTTATAGTTAAAAATAATAATAATAATATGTTGTGATAGATTAGGTTTTTTTTAAAATCAACGTTTTTTAATTAACCCAATTTTTTGGTAGCAATTTTTGTTGCATCTCCATACACCGAGAAATTTTATTATCTCCTATAATACCATCCACGGCAACTAAATTACACTATAGAGAATAAATCAAAAACATAAACTACCCAAAGAACGCCAAAACTGACTTTCCAGAATATCCAGAAAAAAGCTAAATAGCAAGAAAATTTTTGAAGATATAGTTTTCTTATTTTATAAATCCACAATTTTCTCGATGGAACACCCTAACTAAAAGAAAATTCGAGACACGGACTTGAACCAAACGACCAATTAAATTTGCTCGCGGTTTCGTCTCCCCTTAAGATCTGACAAATCGCCCTCATCATCCCAAACAAATTATCATCATTAAAAGACCTCGGCGAAAAAAAATGGAAGGGTAGTCGTTCCGGCGGAATCAAACATGCAAACAACGTTTTCGGCGTCGCGGGGCGCGTTTCCGGGCGCCGCGACGGACGTATAAATCAAACGTCATCGACGCGGGACGTTAAGCGATCCCACGGGAAGAATTTCCGAATCCTCCTCGAGTGGGGATTTGATCGATGGGGCGAGGCCGATTCCGTTTTGACATAAAGGCCGCGGAAACATCGGGAATTGCCTGTTTACCACACGGGATTTATCGATGAGTTTTTTTTACTTTTGGTATTGATGGTTCTCCGGAAAAACATATATGTTTGATTTTAAAAAAATCTGCTTTAGGCTCTTTTCTTAGATAATAATAATAATAATAATAATAATAATAATAATGAACCAATGCGTGGTACAATAGTGCACACCAAATTATAAAAAGAAATTGATGATCCCAACTACGCATGCGGATAAAAAATGCATTAAAAAAATTGAAAAAAAAAAACAGAAAAAATCTCTACAGCAAATTCTGTAGATTCAGTAATTCTTTCTTATATAAAGTTTGTATATTACAGTAAAATATTTTTAATGACGTACATGTCCTTTGAAATATGCTTTTTAAGTGTTAAATAAACCTCGCATCAAAATTAATGCACCACTAAAATTTGACTTCATTTCAAATTTATCATTATATTATATATAATAATATCTGACTTTTTTGTTCACGCCTCCTTCTTAATTTTTTTCTACTCCCTTCTGTAAAATACCAAATTAAACACGGATCTCGCGTACGGAAATTGTCATTTTACCACGTCAGTCTCGTTTCCCACGGATCCGCTTCGCTCAGTTCGTGCCAAATAAACTGATGACTCAAATGCCGTTTACTACACTTGTTGCATAATATAATATTGCATTACCTCTACTAGTTATACGGAGAGGACAAATTACTGGAATGGTCGATTTTTTCGAAAGATACAGAGCTTAGCAAAATAGAATTGTGTTCTCCTCAAATATAGCGAAACAAATAAAGTTTATGTTATCTTAAATTCATTAGTTTCCTAGATATTATTACAATAAAAAGTATAAAACAAAATTAAATCTCCATAGCTACCACCAACAATTCTTAAACTTTTCGTTTTTTTTTGCGATTTGCTAAATCATAATACAATTGTTCATCTTTACTGCAATTTTTCTAAATGAAAAGCGTTGTAGGTACCTGTTCAATCTATGGAAAAGTTTTAGTTTAGTTTCTAATCTTGGTCATAGGTGGCGCAACAGGTCCATAATCTTAAAACGACCAGAGGGTATCCAACGACTTTTTCAAAATTTTAGTTGCCACAATTTAAAGAGCAAAAGGGGTGTAGGAGATATGATAGGAAAACTTCTATTTTTTTTCTGAGACTGAAAGTTTTCAAACCTATATTTCAACAAAGAAATAAAAGTTACAGACACTTTAACATTCTGTGGCGTCCAATTTACATAAGAAAAACATTGTAGTTTTTAACTACTTATGTTTATTCAACAGCTTTTATTGTAATAAATCTAGATAATATAAACACTACAACTATTGTTGATATAATGAAGATAAACACAAACATATAAAAAGTATCTTCATCGAATATATCTGTAAAAGCTGGAAGCTGATTATAAACAGTATGGATCAACTTTAGATTGTAGTCTTTGTTTTTAGGCATCCTATTTTCTTCTTCTTGCTTGCTTCGTAGTTTGCACTTGAGAAGTTGTGGTTTCGTCTACTTTGGCCTTGGAACTTATATGTTTGTTAAAATATTGCAGAACTTCTAATAAGGATAAATTGTTTGCCAAGAATTGAACTGTCCTAGAATCAATGAAATACACAAATCAATTTAGAGGGACAACTTGATTTACTCACTCTCCGGAATCTGTCAAGTCTACTTTAATTGTAGGTTCACTTCGATCACATACAACATTGGTTTTCAAAATACAATTTAGATTGGTCTCTTGCACTTTGGGAATAGAGATGTAGTAAAGAAAATTTCTGAAATGAGGTATAAAAGGTTGAACAACTTCTAATAGACTTGCGTGATAGCTAATAATAGAAATCAATATTTTAAAGGTTATGTTTATTTACCTCGCAGTAACAGCATTTGGATGGAAAGGGTCGAATTGGACTTGAATTTTCTTTACAGATTTTAAGTTGATCTGGTTCACTTGTTTAGTAATAGCGCTTAAAAGTCCCGCCGAACGTGTAAATGTTCCGCTAAAATAAATCGACATTTTCTTCCTCACCTAAGGTTGGGAATAGACATCCAGACTAAATTCACTATTTGCGAATTAAGTTATATATTCCTAGTCGGCCTAAAAATTAACAATTTTGAGACACATTATACTTTCTCCGTCTGTTTGCTTAATGTAGGATTCGATGTAGGAAGAAAATTCCCCTACCTTAAGATAGGTTACTATACAACCACAAACCATAGGTCAATTTAGTAAATAGTCAGTCATCTGCAAGAACCAAAAATAACAGCCACAGAATATTTTCTTCTTCTTCTTCTTTTTCACAAACAGTGTGGCACAACTATACCACAGATTATTACGTTAATAAAGTATTTTATTTCCATAATATTCTGTCGGCATAGTTGCCACCTTTTACATGAGTTCCATACCTGTCAGATATTTTACTGTACATAAAGAGAAATTGAAACGAAGTTTTAATAATTTAGAGTCAAAACTGAGCCCGAGTTCTGTTAGCCTTGATTTATATATAGTGGTCAATAGATGTACGACATATAAAGCAGTTCCAAGTTATAAGACTGATGCATGTTTTTAATTCCATTTTTTTGTAGCCTTATTTTTCATTAAATAATCGTGTAACGAGGTAATATCATTCAATTTACATTCTATTTTTTAGTTTACCAAAAGATAAAATTATAAGGAAACAATGGATAACATTCGGTGGTAAACGCTTGAAAAACTTATCATTGGGTTACGAGTTTTCTGGTCATTCTAGTTGTCGATATTTGACAGTCCCTATCTACAGTGCCAAATTATACTTTTTTCTAAAAAATTGTTTTACTTATTTAATTGTTTCATTTCTGGTTTACAGGGTGGACCGTTTAAGAGGAGCTTGTACCTTATCTCGAAACCTACGGGGGTTACAAAAAAAAATTAAATACAAAAGTTGTTTCTATTATTTTTTTTATTTTCCTAACCTTCTTTTTTTATATACAAGGTGGTAAAACAAATTTAAATTTTTTTAAATAGATCACGATGTATATGAGTATGGGTGTGTGATGCACCGTTTCGAACTTATTAGAGATCATCTACAGAATTCGGATCATGTTTAAACAGTCATTGTTGAGTTGCTTATTAGCTTTTTATACCTTTTCCATATACCGCACAGGACTTACTGTTTTGTAAATAAGGTCCTTAAATGGTAATCAGTTTTTAAAAAGAATTTAAGACACAGTAACATATTGTCAATAAGCAAAGTGAGGCTGATTTAAATTTTGTTTCGAATTTACAGTTAATGAAATTCAAGTAATATAAAAATTCCTTTAAGAAGCATCTTATGTCACCATTGTGCAAATAAAAGAAAATGTCATGCTATTAAAAAATGCAGCATATATTTTTGTTTCTTATGGCGTTAATAAACGATGTATGTATTGTGCATTGCCATTATTGATAATCATATATTTGCTTACATGAAAAAATAACTGCAGAAATACATATAGAATTATCATCGTGTCTACAGATCTTAAAAACTATTAACCCTGAATTAACTTCTTTTCCACACCTTAACTCCTTTGCCTAAACATTTGAAATGTGTTGGTTGTTGAAAATCGTAAGGTCTTATCGGTCGAAAGTAAGAATTTGCCAATTAGAGATGTCATTATTTAAAAACGACATTTTAAATATCGCGCCTGCGCATGTCGCATGAATCTTCTGAAAATTTGTTTAAGTAGTTCCTTCATATCTTCCTGTACTGTCAGTATAAGCAGGGCCTATATAGGTCCAGTAGCTATATGGGCTGAAACGCAATGATTTCGGTGTTTATCGCAAGATTAAGTGCTAACCCCAAATACATACAAGTTTGTCATTTTATAGTGATTTTCTTTCTGTTAAGTATAGGTTTCTCGAGAAGCGGAGTCAATAATCCTAAAAATATCCAATACTCTAATCATTTTAGTATATCACAATGTATCATTGATATAAATTAATAACAAAACATTTAAAAAATGGTAGCAAAAACAATCCATAAACTAAAATCGATCGTCAGTGATCATATGATGTCGCATGAAAGACGACACCAGTGGACGAAGGAAAAGGAGAAGATATGGAAGTGTGGAAAGGTTAGACCAAGAGGAAAAATCTTCTTTTCGTAGTTAAATGTAGTAAATAAGGATTTCTTAGTAATTTTTGGTTTGTAGAAGTCACAAATTTAAACTTGCATTAGCTTTTGACCAAATATTGTCTATGGTTTGACTCAGCTTTATACTAGTGGGCTTATGAGAATTACACTCAAACTCAACTCGAAGATTTTGGTGCTTGATTGAGTTGCCAGTTCCTCAGAACCAAGTAAATATGCTATGTTTTTAAAATCTATTGAAATGTGTCATTTATTCAACAAAAATATCCCTTTTTTTAACAGTTTAGTTGATTCATGTCATATACGTCATACGAAAGTGCTTTGTAATATTATTTTTTTAAGCGTATGTTATTAACTGATTCAATTTCAATAGCACGAACATAATTTCTCACAAATTTTCTTCTTTATTTAATGGAGCTAGGTAGGTATAGTTAGCTATATTTCTCAAATTGTTAGCTGTGTTGAGGTTGTCTAATTTTCGACGTTTTTGGATTTTAATTGTCGTTTGGCGTTATGCTAATGCTTTCTATCTAATCTATTATTTTATTATCAGAAAGGGATATCAACAGACTACTGCGATACATTGTTGCAAAATTATTTTTTCTAATTCAAGAAACAATGCAGATATTTACCTAAATAAATTTTCTTAATTAAATACTTTGTTTTGAAGTGAGATTTCGCAAATTCTATTTTTAAAGTCCTTGTCCGATAATTAGACACGTTTAACCATACAGCAAAGGTAATAAAATATGACTGATTTCATTCATAAAATACCCAGCGGCGTACTGTAATTTTTTTTCGACATCGTGCAAAATACGTAGGGTTACCACTAACGCACACATGTGACACGTTGAAGAAAATAGCAGAATGTATGGAAACTTTCTAAGGTTCAGCCCCAAATTTGTGCTAAGCATAATTTATCGTCAGTAATGATATAATGCCGTGTGCAAAACACACTCAAGAATGAGTATTAGCAATAAAATCCGTGCTCAGTAGTTCCCTATTCGACGTTTCTATTATTATAATGAGCACTCTAACTATCAATTTGTGGTTCTAGCTATGAGTTGCAGACGGCATTGGTGCATTGCGTCGAGGTGAGATTAAGAATCATTAAACTGCATGTGTTGTCGGTATCGAGTAGTTGCTAATGTTGCCAATATTTGCATCAATTTAACTGAAGTGATCGATAATTCTCCATCGATATTTAAAGAACGAATTAATGCTACTAGTCATAAGTAGGAACTAGATTCATTTTCAAAAATCCACGATTCTTCGCCCGATGGTTTTGAGTACATTGCAAAATTTCTTTGTGCTAATCTATCTTACAGAGATTATATCCCACACACAGGATGACAAACAACCCAATATAATTTTTATTTTCGCTGATGATCTGGTAAGTTGGTAGATTTAACCCGCAAATAAAGAAAGAATCGTTCTCGTTTAGGGATGGAACGACGTAGGTTTTCATGGTTCGAACGAAATCCCAACGCCTAACATTGACGCATTGGCTTACTCAGGCGTCATTCTGAATAATTATTATGTCAACTCTCTATGCTCACCTTCTAGGAGCGCACTTATGACTGGAAAATATCCGATCAACACTGGTAAGCATCTTCGGTAAAAGTCTACCAATTAATGAAGGTGGAAGGTTTCAATTAGGAAGAGTACCAACTACGGATCTTTAGTGGACATTTGGATTGCGGAAAATGTTTTCCTTGTTTTTGTTGGCACAGTTTCTTTAAACTTTGTCGCTTTGTCCAATGCGGTTCGTTGTTTGCACATGTTTCGCAATTTCTGATTTGTGGGTTTCAATAAAAAAAGATGAACACCACTTTTGACAAACTGAAGTTATATTTGTGTGACTTAGTATGTCTCCTTACAATATCATGTTAAACATAAATGAAAATAACGAAGTACGCTTCAGTTAACAAAAGTAAATCATAAAACTCATTTGCTCCATTTTGTCTTCATAAGAAGATATACTTCGACCAGTAATATAGCGCTTTTACAATCGACCCCGACCAGATCCTTGCCCGTAACCATTTCAGGACCGTCCTAGGATTTTATCTACCTACACTAACAAGCGGGATATAAGTCTGTTTTCATAGTTAGACCAGATTTGTATTGATATTTCAGCTACCTCTTGCCGAATTATGTTTATGGTACTATCACTTAATTTTGGTGTAGTGTTATTTCTTCTTATATGCGCTTTCAACTCAGATCAAATCATAATCAAAAGATTTTATGTCCGTTTTGTTGTGCTATCGAATCGATTTTGTAGTCTTTATTAAAATGTTTTATTTTTACTAATTCCAAAAGTTCATTCTTCGTGTAGCTCTCTTCAGCACAGAAATTCTTTAATTTCTTCTTTATTTGAAGAAGTATTTTGAATTTTTCTTTTGCATATTTCGCATGTAAAAACCGCTTTTTCGTCTTCATCTTCAACGTTAGCGCAGGAACAGTGGGTTCAAGGTTTACATGTAAAACACTGGATCCAGCCTTGACGTTCAAGTAGTGACAATACAGACACTCGGTGTCTTCTTCTTTACTAAAAGAGGAGTCGTTTTTCTAGAAAAACTTCTTAGTATGCATTGTGAAAACTGTTTTTTTTTACTTGTTGAGCATTTACTTGCGATATTTTCAATTATTTTTGATAGGGCGAGGATGTAATCATAGCGGCCTTACTTCTTTTTTGGGTCACCCTCTTTGCTTATTTCTTTTTTGGCATCATCATGCTCAGGCTAAACGATAAAGCTTTTATTTAAAGAAGTCTAGTACATGACGAGGCGTGCAAGTGATTTTGACTTTGAACAACAAGATTGGTTCTTAGGCTTGCAAATGACTCAGCAGAATATCTGCTTCCATCGTGGTCAGGTCTACGTTTTAAAGCGACTCCGACGCCTGAATTAATTAGTAGCTCTGAAGAAGGTGGCTGAAATTACTTCGTATTATCTTCTGACTGGCAGGAAATGAAAGAATATGAACACCATGACGACCGGATGTTTTGTATGACTGCCATCTCCATCTAACAAAAGCAACATTGAATTTTCCCAGGAAGCTCTGGAAGATGTAATGAACTTCGAAAACCATTTCGTAAAAAGATCATTCTGGATTCATGAGTTCGGGCTTAAATACTTTTCTCGCAAATACGAATAAGAGTGGCATGTATGAGCCCTCTGCATTAAAGCAAAAAATAGTAGTTACTAGTAGGCTGCTCTCGGTCCGATGTTAATAAACCAACTTGCTTTTTACTTTTGTGCTGATAATGTCTTCAGTACCGTAGTCATGCCCATCTCGTCTCCGTTATATATTCTATTTAGAGTTAGTTTATACTTGTGAACTTAAAGTGAAAAGGAACTGCTAATACAGACCCGATTACACCCTGCAGCTGAGGTGACCTCTAGTTTGCGAAGACTAAGATCGGGATTTTGTTTTAAAAAATTCTTAAACCAATATCTACAGGCCATACTTGTACTTGGGTCAAAGTTGTGCTGAATGCTATTTCGTTCTGCCAAATCGTAGGCCGAAGTAATCAAATCTTTTGGACCCCATATTTTTTTATGTGCGCAGCAAGCACATTCTCCTGATTTTTATTAAGTACATTATAAAATTTCTCCAATTTCTTCGCTGCTGCGGTATCTGCTTCATTGTTTTCGTTGTATAGCTGCAGTCGACTTTTTAATGTTGTTTTAGGTACATCATAATTTTCAGAAGCCTTTCGAAGTCCCGTAGCCTTAGTTGCAACTTTAATTATTACTTGTCCCATTGATTCTTCGGACCAGGAAGTTAAAATGATCCAAGTGGTCCATTTTACCCGGTCCGTTTTGTCTTTTGCTATATTCTAGAAAACGTGCCGATCTGGTGATTATGTCAACATAGCACATCAAAGAAATATTATATAGTTTGAAGCTAATATCTTGCCCTTAGAGACTATAATAGTATCAGAGACTTTATTATAGATGTAAAGAGTACAGGCATTCAAATATTGTTTCATTTTTATATTAAATTCTACCAAATATAGCTCCTCTTATTAAAATTTCGTAGGTCACTCTTGCCGGCTTGGGGTTAACTGTCCTAAGCATGTTCCGCGCGCAGGAAAATTTGATGTTAACAACTTTGTAGAGATGGCGCAAATAGTATTTAAAGGATTTTAACGTTCGCTTCTGATTCCCTTTCCCCTATATGTAATTTTGTTTGTTCGTTTCATTTTATATCTATAAACGAAACGAAAAATCAATAAATCTCTTTTTATTGGTCGTATCGCCGGAAATACAAAAAAATGATTTTCTTTAAGCTCGCCATAAAGTTTATCGTTTTCTTTAATAACTAAAAGAGGAAAGAGAAAAAAAAATAAATTTTTGTCGTGTTCGCGGAAAAAGAAGTCTTCCCTTTGAACTAACCAAATTAGGAAAATTTATGCCAAAATACAGTTTTTCATGTTAACATCCGTTGCTCCTAGCAGATTGTATCAAAAGTAGAATGTAAGAAACATGTTACTTTAGAATTCAAATTTTACTGCTTGATATGATAAAAATGCCAATTTAAAATCGGTTCTAAATTTACACTCTACTATTTTTTTAAATAACGTTTTCCATCAATTTTCACCTGGTTTCACATAACTATAAGGATTCAATTAAACTCCGAAGTCCCAAAAATTATTATTTATGCCCAATCGGGCATCATCAGACCTATAAAGCAATTTGTCTGAAATAATAAAATAACTTTTTGGGTACTCATCTAAAACAATGACATTATTTTTCGGGGAAAAGTTATACCCCGTGGACAAAAGTTGAGTGCGAAAGCAGATGTGGTCCTGGCAGAATAGCGAATTAAACGAGGCAAATTTATGAAAATATGGAAAGTCGGAGAAAAATTATCAGTAGATGTGTTTTTTGTTAAATCTCGAATTTAATTCGTTTACTTTCTCTAACAGAAGATCGAGAAACGGTACCTTGCCTCCCGACTTCCTTCTCCAACGTAATTCATTGGTAAACGTAAAGAATTCGGCCAGCGTTTGTGGACTGCCATTCCAGACAATGCAGATATCGGTCACCTATCTTTTGTAACCTATTCAATACGTGGAGAATTGACTATCCATAATTTTTCTCTCAAGACTTTTCAAAAAGGTGATAAACAGGAACCCTTTGATAGTCTTGTAGTTTGCCTAAAAATTTTATTAACGAACATAAATAAATTTTGTTCTAACGCAGTCGTCAAAAGAAGAACTAGACTATCCATGGCAACTTTCGGCAAAGTGCTGCCATTCAATAAAGAGCTCACTAAATCAATGCACTCGGATCGTAGAACGTTTGGGAATAAATTTTTGACATCAAGATAAATCAACATAGCACTGTCTGTCTATTACGAAATCCAGTTCTATTTCTAAGAAATATCTTAGGTCATGAAGCTAAATTGTAACAAGGTGAACCCGTGAAAGGCACAAAAAAGTGTCCCTCTTTTACACCGGCCCCTCAAACAGGGAGCGAAATCCAAATGGGTTTCAGTCAAGCTCTGAAGAAGTCAACATTATGATTGGCGAAACGTTAGCAAGTTCGAATAAGCATTACCGACGCAGGAGGAAGCCAGAAGTTTTGTAAAAAGTAAATAAAAACTCCTTTATTTTTTAAAAGGCGAAGGGCAGCTGAGCTGCTGAGTTAATCGAGCACGTAAAAAAAATCAATCAAATAAATTAACTTACAATAAGGCAAATTTTTACAACAAATATCATAAGTATATAAGCGAAGACGAATTACTAAAAAATATTTTTAGGCAAACTATAGGACTATCAATGGCTTCCTTGCCTTGAGTGAAAAATTTGGGGGTTCCTTACAGTTTCTCGGTCTGCTTTTGGGAAAAGTAAAAGAATTAAATTTGAGATTTTTTGAAATGCTGCTGAAAATGTGATACAATTTTCCTCCAACTCTCCACATCTTTATAAGTCTTTATTCTACAGGATTTTTAACATTCCACTTTCACTTAATTTTTAATAATGTAAACTGTAGGTTTTCGGTGTAACCCTGTTAGGTGTTTTTATATTTTCTGTACTTCATAATCCCAACATTTATTTCATTTTTTAGATCTAGGATACGGTTTTATTCCAATCTGTGTCTCTGTGCGTTTAAGTTGACGCCTTTATATGTGCCTATTCTTAATTTATGTAATTTATTTTATTAATTCAAACATATTGGTTTTATAGGTTTGATGATGCCCGTGTGGACGAAACACGTGTAACATGTTATAAACAATAATTTTTGACATCAACTTCAAGGTTTATCGAATCCTTACAGTTTTACTATGTTTTCATTGAATACTTTTTGTTCAGGAATGCAACATTTGGTCCTATTGCCGGCTGAACCAAGGGGACTGAATTTGTCGGAGAAATTACTTCCACAATATTTAAAGGAACTCGGCTATGTGAATCATATGGTGGGAAAATGGCACTTGGGGTATTGGAAAAAGGAATACACTCCTCTGCATAGAGGATTTGATTCTCATTTGGGTTTGTAGTGATTGTTATAATGCACACTTTACTAGATTGTCAACGTTGCTTACAGATATTGCATAGACTGTCGCTGCTACTCGAAGGTACCGACAGTTTGATTTGTTTAAATTGCTCAATTTTTTTCTTATTTCATTTTTACATTCTACATCATGAAAATCATTACGCTCTAGAGTTTGATATATCTAACCCTTTTCGAAATAAAACTTTTTCCCTAACGTACTCTGAAAGTTATTAATTCGATTCAAAAATGTCTACTTCTTTCTTAGCAACCGAGTTGCCTACGGCTTATCTCGAAGCCTTCTTTGCGCTTTGATCATCCATTGCAAAGCGAAATCCAGTTTCAATGAATTACATCACACCCAGATTTATAACCTCATACCGCTTGTATTTCAAACGGAACAGTGTTTTTTTTTAGAACAAGATCTTCCTTTATAAAAACGTCTAACTATCCAAACAATATACAAAATCTTTTTAACATTAATTTAATGAGATCTAGAACAAAAAGTAACAACTTATTAACTGCTTATTAATTTGGTTTATAAACAGATTTAATAATGTGTAACTCATATTTAATTATTTTTTATTCTCATTATGTATTACAGGGTATTACAATTGGGGTCATCATTATTACAGCCACACGCTTAATCCGTCGCCATCATGGGGTTACGACATGCGCAGAAATATGAGTGTCGCCTTTGACCTCAACGGTCAATATTCCACTAGTGCTTTTACTGATGAGTCGGTGAAAATTATCAATAACCACGACACCAGCAAACCGCTTTTTTTGTATTTGGCTCATGCTGCCGTTCATTCGGCTACCGCGTACGATCCGCTACCAGCTCCAGATAACCTGGTTGCAAGTTTTGCCAACTTGACCGATGATCGCATTAGCAATTATCGCAGACAGAAGTTCGCTGGTAATAATTACCGAAAAATCTGAATGTAAAGGGTATTCTCTTTTTCCCCAATTCAGAGGTTTATATTTGTCACTTATCTTTATTACAACGAAATATTTTTGGTCAACCACATCTCAGTCGACGTGGTGACATAAACGAAGCAGTTTCTTATTTTCAGCGATGTTAACTCTGTTAGATGCCTCTGTAGGGGAAGTTCTTCAGGCCTTGGCTAACAAAAAAATGCTCGAAAACAGCATTATAATATTTAGTACTGATAATGGAGGGGCACCCGAAGGTTTTGATGCCAACGAAGCTTCTAATTGGCCTTTGAAAGGTGTGAAAAACTCCTTGTGGGAAGGTTGGTGTAATTTTGATTCATATTTATCCGTTTAATGAGGTATCAATTTATGGTAGCATTTTTCCTTCATCAAACCTACGTTCCTGATTTTTTTCCTAGTAGTAACGATCAGAATGTTGTACTATCGCATTTCTACGACGTTCGCTTGATCCGAAAAAAATAATTGCTAACCAAAACTAACCACTTCAGTTTGTTCGCGATTATAAAAAAATGTCCTTCAAGGTGGAGTAAGGGGTGCAGCAGCAATATTTAGTCCGCTAATTAAAGGAAAATCGAGAGTTTCTTATCATATGATGCATTTGACCGACTGGTTACCGACACTCGTCGACGCCGCAGGTGGAAATTCTAGGTGAGGTTGGAAACTATGGATTGTTAAATTTCCCTTATTTGGTAACTTGCAGCCAGTTATCACAACTGGATGGTATAAGCATGTGGAACACTCTAACCAACAATGTTGATTCCGGCCGATCAGAAATTCTGCTTAATATCAACCAAATTACGGGCGAAGCAGGTTTGAGGGTTGGGGATTACAAGATAATTACAGGTTATTACAATTTCAAAGATTTTCCATGGTATTTTATTCTATTCTATTTTAGGTAGATCCAACGATATTATTTGGGACGGCTGGTTTGGTCCATCGGGTAGAAATGGTACTTACGATTTAAATTTGATAGAGACCAGTGCCGCCTATCAAGCTTTGAAATCGGTGAAAATGGCAGTTGCTTTAGAGGAAATAACGACAATACGAGCGAACGCTACGGTCTCTTGCTCAAACTTAAACAAGACCTCTTGTCAGCAATCTGATGTTTGTTTGTATAATATTAAAACTGACCCATGCGAATTCCTTAATCTCGCCGACACGTAAGTTAAAATTCTGATAACTACGTTTTCTTCTAAACCAAATCTGAGATTTAGAGATGCAGATATTTTGGAGTCAATGGTAACGCGATTACAAGAGTACAACGCCACTTCTCTGCCTCCTCAAAATGTCGCCGACGATCCAAACGCTGACCCGAGATTACATCAGCACGTATGGAGCATTTGGGGAGACAATGAAATTATTTCATAATTTTTAGAATTTTAAATGTTATGTTTAGTAAATAAAATAATTGCAGTCTTGCTAGAAACTTTTCATCAAAAAAGGCCACTTTTCTGTAGTTTAGCCTACCTTGCAGGTAAAATTAAAATTGCGGATACTGACAATATTTTATTGTTCGATAAATGCCACTTTAGCCAAAAGTTGGATTAACAAACGAGTTATGTTTTTGCAAAATAGCTCAAATACACCCGATCGCTCCCAAACCTCGTGTGGCTCCCAACTGTGAAAAGCTGACGTCATCAAGTGACATTTTCCATATGCTTGATCCGCGGCATGAGTATGTTAGAGTGGGGAGCAAAAAAAAATATTCCTTTTCTTGGCTTCCGCGATAAAACCTGAAAATAGAATATTGTTTGATTCAGTATTTATATATTATTCCGTGATCTCCAAGACTCGCTATTATTTGTTGCAATTTCTAACAAATGCGTCTATTATATATAGAAATACTAAATCATTTGAGAAATTGAACTGGGTTTCTGTTAAACTTTTTTGTATAGTTTGTTTAACTTTTTACAATCAGAATGCCACTAAAAAAGAATATTGACGCGGTTCACTTTGGTGATGAAAATTATGAGGACATGATTGATGAGTTTGATAATTTGCCTTCAGTTGAAAGTAGTGATGCTTAGATTGAGGGGAATTTAACATCAATTCAACATTCTAGTGGCGACGAAGAAGATTGCGTTTCAAGTGATTCCCATACGTTTTCAACAGACAATTTCGATTGTTCTCTTTCCAATGGGTACATTGCTCCAAGTGGCTTAGAGTGGAATTGCGATCCTTCTCCATTGTCAATATTGCAAGTCTGCAACGCAATTCATCGACAACGTGGTTTGCCGAAAGGAAAAATGACTTCCACTCCAGGAGAAGCATTCAAATTATTTATGTCGACAGAAATCATCGAAGAAATTCTTCAGTGCACTAACAGAGAAGGTGAACTCGTTTATTCCGAAAAAATAAAAAGTGGAGAAATATTGATCTCGATGAACTTTATGCTTTCCTTGGCCTAGTTCTGCAAGCAGGCGTTGAACGCAGCTGGGATATTCCCTCGAGAGATCTTTTTGGAGGCGAATTTCCAAATCCCATGTATAGGGCAACAATGTCGGTCTTTAGATTTGAGGAAATTCGAAGTTTGACGATAAAAGGACACGACAAACACGATTAGAAGCAGATAAGCTAGCCATGATTTCGTACGTTTGGCAAATGTTTTTGAATAACTGCCGAAAAAACATTGTTCCAGAACGAAAGGTTACAATAGACGAACAGCTTCTTCCATATCGAGGAAGATGCAGTTTTGCTTAATACGTGCCCGGTAAGCCATCAAAATACGGTATCAAAATATTTTGGATGTGTGAATCGGCTTCTGGATATGCAATTGATGGAATAATAAATATCGGCCGACAACCAGAGGAAGAAATTTTCGGGCTCGAAATTGTAAAACAGCTAGCTCAAAGTATTCATAATACGGGACTAAATCTTACAATAGGCAATTTGTTCACAAGTGTTCCCTTGGCTACACATCTGTTGGACAAAAATATTACTGTAGTTGGAATTTTGCATCATAATAAAAAGGATCTCCCTACAGAGCTAAAACGATCCAAATCTCGAAAAATTTATTCTTCAATATTCTGCTTCAACAAAAAATTGACAATGGTAAGTTATATGCCCAAAGAAAATAAAATAGTTACATTACTTAGCACAAGGCACACGGTTAAAGTAACTCAAGAAGATTCCAAAAAAATGCCAGAAATTATATTAGACTATGATGACACGAAAGGAGGGGTTGACATAATGGACCAAAAAGTACAAAATTACACATGCAGAAGACAAACAAAGCGCTGGCCCACGACAGTTTTTTATAACATGGTTGATATTTCAGCCCTAAATGCATACATATTATTCAGGAAAGAACACCCAGATTATCAAAAAAACGTTTCATACGCAAGAAGAATTTTTTTAAAAGAAACCGCTAGAGAACTTGTCACGTCGTACATGGTAAAAAGATCAAAACATCCGTGCATTAAGCGCCGTATTCTAGAAAGTATGAAATCTTTTAAAGCTCTTCCCGGTCCTTCCAACGCCATACAAAATAACAAACGAAAACGGTGTTTCTTGTGTCCATCTAAATTCGACCGTAAAAGTAAAATGATTTGTGACCTATGTAAAAATAACGTTTGTAATGAACATAGCAGAAAAATATGCAATATGTGTTTTGTTAGTAGATAATATATATAGTTTATTAATTTTCAAATAAAAAACTCATTTATAAGTATAACGTATAATTTTTTTATAAAATAAAGTAACATTAAAATTCGTATCGGAATGGCAAAAGTAGATATTACTTATACTTTTCTCTTCCCTACTCTAAAATACATAATTATTCACTGATCAAACGTGCGGACAATTCCAGTACTTTAGGCACTTTTACTACTTCTAAGTATTAGAAAAAAATACACTGTATTTTCGATACGCGAAAAAATACAATGATTGAATTAAAATTGTCCTCTTTGTCTTTTTTTTTTGCTTTTATCAAATTTAATTTACAATGTTTCTAAGTGTACCGATTATTTTCAAAACTATGGAAAACTTTAATAGCTGCTCTGAGATAATAATTTTATGTGAATAATCTATTATCGATTTGTAATGGAAAAATTGAGTTCAACTTGTACATTTTAAGTATGTTTACATATCTATATGTCTTTTACATAAAACAAAATTCAAATATTTTTAAAATGCAATAAAAAATATATTTAGAAGAAAAGTAGAATTATAAACATTCGAGTAAAAACAGTAAAATTGAAGTTCGCGAACTAATAACCAAAAATTAACTAGATTCATTATGTATTATAAAAATGTCTTATCGCACAACCTCACAAACAAAACTGACTTTCTATAATAACTGAACAAAACTAGTTCAAAGTTGAATTAAATTTTCGTTTCCGCAAATTATAAGATTAATTATTTTAAGTCTATGTTATAAACAACTTTCAAAGCTCAATCGTCCAAATTATAAATTGAGGCCTTCCTAATAGTTACATGTATAGTCCAATATTTGGTTTAGAGTAAAATTTAACAGATACGCAGAAGTTTCATTTTCGTTAGAAACATCTTTTTAGCAGGTCATATCCAAACTGTAACATATACCAATACCATTTAAAGGGAACTGCGATAAAAAAACTCAAACAAGTAACTAAAGTATCTACTTTTCTTTTCTACACAAAAAAAATGTATATCAAAATAGTCAAAAATCGAGGTGGTCGATAGAGCTCCGAAAGAGAAGACGAAAAGCGAATTCTGTTAAGTTCTTCTCAAAAAACCTGATCAAGAATGTAGCGTTAATCGTTCGAAGCTACAGCACGTTATTTATTATTTCCTATAGAATCATGGGCATAAAATATATTGCAAATTATTACGGGTTGATTAAGTCAGTGTTTTGAAATTAGTATTTCATTTTTTTGTGTTTTAGGTTGACCTAACGATATTAGTTGGACTTCTAGTTTGTGAGTAAGTGTAATCGAATCGAAATGTCTGGATTCGATAAATACATCTATCAATGTTGCCAATGATTCGAATGTCTGCCACCTTTTTAAATATTGCAATTGCAAGTGTCATCCAATTACTATTGTCTACAACAGGATCTGCGATTAGAATACAATTTCTTGTACCCCTAGATAAAATACTTTAAGATTATATAAAGGAAAAGTGCTATATAAGATACGAGTGACCTAATTCGAGGCGTATTGGTAATTTCTAAAGTAAACGAAATGCGATTTTGGTTCATTTTGGGCACAGTGGAAAATTTCTGGGTGTTGGTATTTTTCACTCAAATCATCACGCACGCACAGGATTCCAAACAGCCAAATATTATTTTTATTTTAGCTGACGATCTGGTAAGTTGGCAGATTGAAACTCGGACTTAATGGTTGGCGTACCTATTCAAAAATTCTCCTTTAGGGATGGAACGATGTAGGCTTTCATGGTTCGAACGAAATCCCAACGCCTAACATTGACGCATTGGCTTACTCGGGTGTCATATTGAATAACTATTATGTCAACTCTCTATGCTCACCTTCTAGAAGCGCTCTTATGACTGGAAAGTATTCGATCCACACCGGTAAGTGACCTCGCCGAAAACCATTTGGGACGATCAATTAATGTGTTATTCATTTAGGGATGCAACACTTGGTGTTATTACCTGCCGAACCAAGGGGACTTAATTTATCTGAAAAATTGCTTCCGCAGTACTTAAAGGAACTTGGTTACGTGAATCATATGGTGGGAAAATGGCACTTGGGGTATTGGAAGAAAGAATATACACCGATGTATAGGGGATTCGATTCTCATTTGGGTGCGTAAGTTTTGTGTGACGCAAAATCCTAAATCTGTTGTATGATGTGTGATCAGATCGGACAATAGAAGGTTGTTTTTTTTAATTCGAAGAATATTTTTTTGCGTTCTAAATTTTCTGTTTCTCGAAAAACTAATTAAATAATGTTTACAACACTAACCAAAACTTTTGTATGATATTTTATAAATAATATGTTAAAAAATACAAATGACAGAAATTCACAGCTATCAACTTTGGCAAGATGGTAGAAGTCCATATCTACTTGCAACCGGCCAAAGTTTGGCAGTTGGGCGGTAGTTCTGAAACCAGAAAACGTGGGACATCTGGGGCTATAGCCTTTACCTCAGGCGTTTTTTCGATAATGGTGTTAAGGGTGCATCGGCAATGGGCAAAAAAGTCGCTAATAATTTCCTTTTTTGGAAGTAAATTATCAGCACAACCTATAAAACTGTAAAAAGGGCAATTTATGCCTATTATACAGCGTGTGCGATATATCTGGCAAAATAAATTGCCTCAGGAATTTACATTAATTGCGTTACTGAAATACCGTTACAGATAGGACGATTCGGTTCCAACAGTAGTGTATTCCACAATTTCTTTTATTAGAATTTCCAGCGGTCTTACAACAGAAAGCGCAAAATGTTTGAAAAATATTTATAAAG